ATAACAGTACCTCTAGACAGCGGTACCTCTGATTAGAAATACCTTTGAATAACAGTACCTCTAGACAGCGGTACCTCTGATTAGAAATACCTTTGAATAACATAACCTCTAGACAGCGGTACCTCTGATTAGAAGTACCTTTGAATAACATAACCTCTAGACAGCGGTCCCTTTGATTAGAAGTACCTTTGAATAACATAACCTCTAGACAGCGGTCCCTTTGATTAGAAGTACCTTTGAATAACAGTACCTCTAGACAGCGGTCACTTTGATTAGAAATACCTTTGAATAACATAACCTCTAGACAGCGGTCCCTTTGATTAGAAGTACCTTTGAATAACAGTACCTCTAGACAGCGGTCACTTTGATTAGAAATACCTTTGAATAACAGTACCTCTAGACAGCGGTCCCTTTGATTTGAAATACCTTTGAATAACAGTACCTCTAGACAGCGGTCCCTTTGATTAGAAGTACCTTTGAGTAACAGTACCTCTAGACTGCAGTCCCTCTGAATAACTACACATACCGTTTATGAATATTACAGAATAGCAGTTGATATGTCACGTGAGATGTGATTTTTTGTATTGGTTGTAGCTTATCAATATGCTTGGTTTAACCACCGTTTAACATATACAATGTTGTCTACTGCAACACTATAGCCACCGTTGGAGTACGGTAAAACTGACATTTATAAGCAAGTTGACGTTGGTCTGATACCGAGAGCAAACACAGAACACTTGCGTTGTTCGCACTAGTGGGTATGAAAAGGACGGAATTTTCCATCAAAACGGCGACCACGTCCTGTTTCCCGCGGAGCACCAGTCATAATCTACCGCAAAGGCACGCGCAACAACGCCACTGCAGTGTCAAGATAAACTGATATTCATCAAGAAACGGAACTAGTCCGTTTAGGACATGCCATGTAATATGTTCGGGTCAAACAACATGTTCAGAACAAGACATATTATATGTTCAGGTCAAACAACATGTTCAGGACAAGCCATGCTATATGTTTGGGTCAAACAACATGTTCAGGACAAGCCATGTTATATGTTCGGGTAAAACAACATGTTCAGAACAAGCCATGTTATATGTTCGAGTAAAATAACATGTTCAGAACAAGCCATGTTATATGTTTGGGTCAAACAACAACATGTTCAGGACAAGCCATGTTATATGTTTGGGTCAAACAACATGTTCAGGACAAGCCATGTTATATGTTCGGGTAAAACAACATGTTCAGAACAAGCCATGTTATATGTTTGGGTCAAACAACATGTTCAGAACAAGCCATATTATATGTTCAGGTCAAACAACATGTTCAGGACAAGCCATGCTATATGTTTGGGTCAAACAACATGTTCAGGACAAGCCATGTTATATGTTCGGGTAAAACAACATGTTCAGAACAAGCCATGTTATATGTTCGAGTAAAACAACATGTTCAGAACAAGCCATGTTATATGTTTGGGTCAAACAACATGTTCAGAACAAGCCATGTTATATGTTTGGGTCAAACAACATGTTCAGGACAAGCCATGTTATATGTTCGGGTAAAACAACATGTTCAGAACAAGCCATGTTATATGTTCGGGTAAAACAACATGTTCAGAACAAGCCATGTTATATGTTTGGGTCAAACAACAACATGTTCAGGACAAGTCATGTTATATGTTCGGGTCAAACAACATGTTCAGGACAAGTCATGTAATATGTTCGGGTAAAACAACATGTTCAGAACAAGCCATGTTATATGTTTGGGTCAAACAACATGTTCAGAACAAGCCATGTTATATGTTCGGGTAAAACAACATGTTCAGAACAAGCCATGTTATATGTTCGGGTAAAACAACATGTTCAGAACAAGCCATGTTATATGTTCGAGTAAAATAACATGTTCAGGACAAGCCATGTAATATGTTCGGGTCAAACAACAACATGTTCAGAACAAGCCATGTTATATGTTCGGGTCAAACAACAACATGTTCAGAACAAGCCATGTTATATGTTCGGGTAAAACAACATGTTCAGAACAAGCCATGTTATATGTTCGGGTAAAACAACATGTTCAGAACAAGCCATGTTATATGTTCGGGTAAAACAACAACATGTTCAGGACAAGCCATGTTATATGTTCTGGACAAACAACAATATATTTAGTACAAGCCATGCTATATGTTTGGATCAAACAACATGTTCAGAACAAGCCATGTTATATGTTTGGGACAAACAACAAGGTTTTTCGGGGCAAGTTTTGACAAAACATGAGTTCCAAGTAGGACCGACAGGTGTTAATATAAAAATGCGACAGCAACAGGTGTTGCCGTGCCTTTCTGACGGCTTTGTGTTCACTCGACAAGAATGAAGAAGACAATCGTGTTCTAATATTTACAAACATAAAAAAATCTCCGAAATATAATATGACTAGAGAGAAAAAAGATGTCCATCTGAGTTAACATCAGGTGTAAACCACATTTGTTGTCCTTTGTTTCCCCCAAAAGAAACTTTCAGATAAGTATTAATACTAAAAGGAACTTTCAATTAAACAATATTGTCAGTAAAAGGAACTTTCAATTAAACAATACTGTCACTAAAAGGAACTTTCAATTAAACAATACTGTCACTAAAAGGAACTTTTAATTAAACAATATTGTCAGTAAAAGGAACTTTCAATTAAACAATACTGTCAGTAAAAGGAACTTTCAATTAAACAATATTGTCACTAAAATGAACTTTCAATTAAACAATATTGTCACTAAAAGGAACTTTCAATTAAACAATATTGTCAGTAAAAGGAACTTTCAATTAAACAATATTGTCAGTAAAAGGAACTTTCAATTAAACAATATTGTCACTAAAAGGAACTTTCAATTAAACAATATTGTCAGTAAAAGGAACTTTCAATTAAACAATATTGTCAGTAAAAGGAACTTTTAATTAAACAATATTGTCACTAAAAGGAACTTTCAATTAAACAATATTGTCACTAAAAGGAACTTTCAATTAAACAATATTGTCAGTAAAAGAAACTTTTAATTAAACAATATTGTCAGTAAAAGGAACTTTCAATTAAACAATATTGTCAGTAAAAGGAACTTTCAATTAAACAATATTGTCAGTAAAAGGAACTTTTAATTAAACAATATTGTCAGTAAAAGGAACTTTCAATTAAACAATATTGTCACTAAAAGGAACTTTCAATTAAACAATATTGTCAGTAAAAGGAACTTTTAATTAAACAATATTGTCAGTAAAAGGAACTTTCAATTAAACAATATTGTCACTAAAAAACTTTCAATTAAACAATACTGTCACTAAAAGGAACTTTCAATTAAACAATACCGTCACTAAAAGGAACTTTCAATTAAACAATATTGTCAGTAAAAGGAACTTTCAATTAAAACAATATTGTCAGTAAAAGGAACTTTCAATTAAACAATATTGTCAGTAAAAGGAACTTTCAATTAAACAATACCGTCACTAAAAGGAACTTTCAACTAAACAATATTGTCACTAAAAGGAACTTTCAATTAAACAATATTGTCAGTAAAAGGAACTTTCAATTAAACAATATTGTCAGTAAAAGGAACTTTCAACTAAACAATATTGTCAGTAAAAGGAACTTTCAATTAAACAATATTGTCACTAAAAGGAACTTTCAATTAAACAATATTGTCAGTAAAAGGAACTTTCAACTAAACAATATTGTCAGTAAAAGGAACTTTCAATTAAACAATACTGTCACTAAAAGGAACTTTCAATTAAACAATACCGTCACTAAAAGGAACTTTCAACTAAACAATATTGTCACTAAAAGGAACTTTCAATTAAACAATATTGTCAGTAAAAGGAACTTTCAATTAAACAATATTGTCAGTAAAAGGAACTTTCAACTAAACAATATTGTCAGTAAGAGGAACTTTCAATTAAACAATGCTGTCAGTAAAAGGAACTTTCAATTAAACAATACTGTCAGTAAAATGAACTTTCAATTAAACAATACTGTCAGTAAAAGGAACTTTCAATTAAACAATATTGTCAGTAAAAGGAACTTTCAATTAAACAATATTGTCAGTAAAAGGAACTTTCAATTAAACAATACTGTCAGTAAAATGAACTTTCAATTAAACAATACTGTCAGTAAAATGAACTTTCAATTAAACAATATTGTCGTCACTAAAAGAAGCCTTCAATTAAGCAATATTGCCCCTAATAGGAACTTTTTCTTTAGCAATGTGACTACTATAGGAAACCTTTTTTTCATCAATGTGACTACTAGAGGGAACTTTTCCCTCATCAATGTTGCCCCTATAAAGAACGTCTAATTCAAGTGTAAATCAGAAAGATTTCGCCGGGAAAAAAAAGTAATCAAGTTCGTGGTAACATATGTAAAGTAAACCTTACTGGCTATAAACCCGTCAGTATGTGTTACTTGGTGACAGATAACTAAACAATGCATGGGCATGCTGACCATGCCACGCCCAGTATTATCACATTTATCACGTAACTATCAGGCTGTATGGTAGCCGTATATCGTCAGCAGTTGTCGGCAGGATGGGTGAAGGCCACTAGAATGTCGCCCAAGTTCCGGTCATCAATCAGAATCGATCGCTTGGACATGTTCAAAACTATTGTCAAACAAAACCATCCCTTTGCTGAGAAATGTCTGTGCATGCCACGGCCAAGGTAATTGATCATGTCACATGATGAAATCGCTTATCACGCAATGTATTTAACACTTGTCGTTCATCATTATCAATATCGAAGATCATTTGCACGTCATTTAGGCCTATGTCGACGTCGCACACAGCAATCAAACTGCCTAACGATTTTCGGAGGGAGTGTTTGGAAAAAGAAGGTGTCTTTTCCACATTTTCTACAAAAATATTCTGAAGGACTAATTTTCAGATGTAAGTCGTCATTATTGAGACAGCAATGTATCACAGATATAGATTTTGATCGTCTAGGAGAGGCCGCAGTATTCGTCCTGCCGATCAGAGCTACAGCATGGTCTTGGCTTTGATGACGCGAATGGCCCTGGTAAGGAAAAGCCAGAGCACCGTAGCTATAACACAGATGACGACGCCCACCCACGCCAGCGGGGACGCCCAGTTGATCTGTACAACCCTGGCAGCACACGCAACACTTGGGATGGTCTCCAGAGCATGACACATGTACGTCTCATAGTAGTGCTTGGTGTGGAAGATAGCCAGACCAAAAACCGTAAACAAACCTGTAGAATATGATAAAGCATACTGACATCAGTGATGTTTCCTTATGTACCTGTTGACATCAGGAACTTTCGCTAATGTAACACCCGACATTAATAACTATCACTGATGTAAATTTTGACATCAGGCAGTTTAAAGCTGTTTACTAACCAGTGTAAGAAAGATAACTCTAGCAGTCCATCCACACAAAGTATGAGTTAAATGTGTGTTGTGTTGTACACCAAACCAAATAAAGTCACACCGACCTATCCCATATACATAGATTATAAAGCATTCTCTGTTGGTTCCATCAGGAATATCTAGTATTGAAGTACAGAAAACCCCTTACCACGTTCATTGACCGTGGATACATTCTGTCACACCAACATGCCAAGTTAAAATATGTCCTGCAACACCTTCTTCACAATCAAGATGACATAATGCCACACCCACTTACTTGTCATTTAAGATACATAATTCCACACCTACCTGCCATACAATGGTACCTAATACCACACCTACCTGCCATACAATGATACATAATACCACACCTACCTGCCATACAATGGTACCTAATACCACACCTACCTGCCATACAATGGTACCTAATACCACACCTACCTGCCATACAATGGTACCTAATACCACACCTACCCATACAATGGTACCTAATACCACACCTACCTGCCATACAATGGTACCTAATACCACACGTACCTGCCATACAATGGTACCTAATACCACACCTACCTGCCATACAATGGTACCTAATACCACACCTACCTGCCATACAATGGTACCTAATACCACACCTACCTGCCATACAATGCTACCTAATACCACACCTACCTGCCATACAATGGTACCTAATACCACACCTACCTGCCATACAATGGTACCTAATACCACACCTACCTGCCATACAATGGTACCTAATACCACACCTACCTGCCATACAATGGTACCTAATACCACACCTACCTGCCATACAATGGTACCTAATACCACACCTACCTGCCATACAATGATACCTAATACCACACCTACCTGCCATACAATGGTACCTAATACCACACCTACCTGCCATACAATGGTACCTAATACCACACCTACCTGCCATACAATGGTACCTAATACCACACCTACCTGCCATACAATGGTACCTAATACCACACCTACCTGCCATACAATGGTACCTAATACCACACCTACCTGCCATACAATGATACATAATACCACACCTACCTGCCATACAATGGTACCTAATACCACACGTACCTGCCATACAATGGTACCTAATACCACACCTACCTGCCATACAATGGTACCTAATACCACACCTACCTGCCATACAGTAGAGTACTCCCGTCACCATACAGGCGGCCACTTGTTTCTGGGTGAGTGCGATCACTCCGACCCCCGCGGCCGCCACTAGGTCTATAATACTGACGATGAAACAGGACGCTGCCGAGTTCTGCAATCCTGTGTCGGGAAGGAACCAATAATGATTTTACGAAGCAGAATTTAAGTCTGATGACATTTACAAATTTAATGATCGATAATAAAGCCGTTGGTAGTTGTAATTATTGATGTTATCATTGTGTATCATACATTAACAGTTGTTTCGGGATTCTCTGTCCTTAAATTGTTTTGATGAAATCTGGCGTTTCACAACTATATATAGGCCTAATGTTTTTCATACTTTTCTTACAGAACTTAACCATATTTTAATTGTATTGTCGGCCTTTGACGGCAAATCGTATTTTCAATCTAGGTCCAAATACAACGAATTCTGGAATCCGAGTACTTTTTAAGTTACTCTGCTGTGCACTGCAATTTCTATGTGTGCTATTACAAATGTACTTACAAATATGCCCACACGATTTTACGTTGCGGAGCGTTAGTTTTACTAGATCTGACAAGAAAATAAGTTTTAAGACTGACCGTGTACTTTAGTGAATTTGAACATATTGTATATTACTAATAGGCTGGTAACACTTTCCCGTATTAACACCTATAAAACACATTACAATGTCATCACAACCATGTTCTTTACGTACGTGCAATGGACTTTCCGTTCTCGGGAAGACTTGACGATTCTTCGTCATACTCAGACACAAAGTTGTAACATTCACTCTTGGTATAACCAAGCGTAGCCAGCTCGCTCCTTGCGGCATCTGAACCAAAAAAACATGCCATCAATTTAGTTTGATCAACAGAAAATGTATCGTTGTAATAACAGTTGTTGAAATAGTCGTTAAAATTAAAATTAAAATTAAATAGTACTTCAGTTGTTATGTTGTATAGTTGCTGCGGTAATAATGGTGGTGTTGTTGGTAGTGTCAGTGATGGTGGTGTTGTTGGTAGTGTCAGTGATGGTGATGTTGTTGGTAGTGTCAGTGATGGTGGTGTTGTTGGTAGTGTCAGTGATGGTGGTGTTGTTGGTAGTGTCAGTGATGGTGGTGTTGTTGGTAGTGTCAGTGATGGTGGTGTTGTTGGTAGTGTCAGTGATGGTGGTGTTGTTGGTAGTGTCAGTGATGGTGGTGTTGTTGGTAGTGTCAGTGATGTTGTTGGTAGTGTCAGTGATGGTGGTGTTGTTGGTAGTGTCAGTGATGTTGTTGGTAGTGTCAGTGATGTTGTTGGTAGTGTCAGTGATGGTGATGTTGTTGGTAGTGTCAGTGATGGTGGTGTTGTTGGTAGTGTCAGTGATGGTGGTGTTGTTGGTAGTGTCAGTGATGGTGATGTTGTTGGTAGTGTCAGTGATGTTGTTGGTAGTGTCAGTGATGGTGATGTTGTTGGTAGTGTCAGTGATGGTGATGTTGTTGGTAGTGTCAGTGATGTTGTTGGTAGTGTTATAAATATGGTGATGTTGTTGGTAGTGTCAATGATATTGTTGGTAGTGTTATTATGGTGATGTTGTTGGTAGTGTCAGTGATGTTGTTGGTAGTGTCAGTGATGGTGGTGTTGTTGGTAGTGTCAGTGATGGTGGTGTTGTTGGTAGTGTCAGTGATGGTGGTGTTGTTGGTAGTGTCAGTGATGGTGGTGTTGTTGGTAGTGTCAGTGATGGTGGTGCTGTTGGTAGTGCTGTTGGTAGTGTCAGTGATGGTGTTGTTGTGGGTGTCTGTTGGTAGTGTCAGTGATGGTGATGTTGTTGGTAGTGTCAGTGATGGTGATGTTGTTGGTAGTGTCAGTGATGTTGTTGGTAGTGACAGTGATGTTGTTGGTAGTGTCAGTGATGTTGTTGGTAGTGTTATAAATATGGTGATGTTGGTAGTGTGGTGATAGGTGTTAATGTGTTGGTTGAGTATGTTGGTGAGTGTATGGTGTGGTGTTGGTAGTGTGGTGATGGTGGTGTTGTGGTGGTTTGGTAGTGTTGTGATGGTGGTTGTGTTGGTGGTGGTGTTGTAGTAATAGTGGTAAGTGTGGTGGTGTGTTGGTGGTTGTGTTGGAGGTGGTAATGGTGGTGTTGTGAGTAAGTGGTGGTGGTTGTGTTGATGGTTGTGTTGGAGGTGGTAATGGTAGTGTTGTGGCTAAGTGGTGGTGGTGGTGGTGGTGGTGGTGATGTGTTGGTGGTGGTAATGGTGGTGTGGTGGTGGTGGTGGTGTTGGTGGTGGTGGTGGTGTGTCTGTGTGTGTGGTGGTGGTGGTGGTGTGTGTGTGTGTGTGTGTGTGGTGGTGGTGGTGGTGTGTGGTTGTGTTGGAGGTGGTAATGGTGGTGTTGTGGGTAAGTGGTGGTGGTTGTGTTGGTGGTTGTGTTGGAGGTGGTAATGTTGGTGTTGAGGGTAAGTGGTGGTGGTTGTGTTGGTGGTTGTGTTGGAGGTGGTAATGGTGGTGTTGTGGGTAAGTGGTGGTGGTTGTGTTGATGGTTGTGTTGGAGGTGGTAATGGTGGTGTTGTGGGTAAGTGGTGGTGGTGGTGGTGGTGGTGGTGATGGTGGTTGTGTTGGAGGTGGTAATGGTGGTGTTGTGGGTAAGTAGTGGTGGTGGTGGTGGTGATGGTGGTTGTGTTGGAGGTTTTGTTGGAGGTGGTAATAGTGGTGTTGAGAGTAAGTGGTGGTGGTTGTGTTGGAGGTTGTGTTGGAGGTGATAGTGGTGGTGTTGTGGGTAAGTGGTGGTGGTTGTGTTGATGGTTGTGTTGGAGGTGGTAATGGTGGTGTTGTGGGTAAGTGGTGGTGGTGGTGGTGATGGTGGTTGTGTTGGAGGTGTGGGGTAATGGTGGTGTTGTGTTAGGTGGTGGGTGTTGGTGGTGGTGGTGGTGGTGGTGATGGTGGTTGTGTTGGAGGTTTTGTTGGAGGTGGTAATAGCGGTGTTGAGAGTAAGTGGTGGTGGTGGTGGTGGTGGTTGTGTTGGAGGTGGTAATGGTGGTGTTGTGGGTAAGTGGTGGTGGTTGTGTTGGTGGTTGTGTTGGAGGTGGTAATGGTGGTGTTGTGGGTAAGTGGTGGTGGTGGTGATGGTGGTTGTGTTGGAGGTGGTAATGGTGGTGTTGTGGGTAAGTGGTGGTGGTTGTGGTGGTGGTTGTGTTGGAGGTGGTAATGGTGGTGTTGAGAGTAAGTGGTGGTGGTGTGTTGGAGGTTGTGTTGGAGGTGGTAATGGTGGTGTTGTGGGTAAGTGGTGGTGGTTGTGTTGGTGGTTGTGTTGGAGGTTGTGTTGGAGGTAGTAATAGTGGTGTTGAGAGTAAGTGGTGGTGGTGTGTTGGAGGTTGTGTTGGAGGTGGTAATGGTGGTGTTGAGAGTAAGTGGTGGTGGTTGTGTTGGAGGTTGTGTTGGAGGTCGTGTTGGAGGTGGTGATGGTGGTGGTGATGGTGGTGTTGAGGAAATGTGTGCTATTTTGATAAAATATTTATTGCTTTCTGAAGACACGTATGCCGTTAAGTTGTTGTATTTGCGACATATGATGACAGAGGTACCGACGCCTTACACTGCTTGTCACTGTGCTATATATCATGTCCTCTCACATTGATCACTGTGTTCCCGTCTCTACACGTTATCACAAACGCCATCGCTCTGTGTTAACAGATTTTTCTGGGGAATCCATCAATTCTTTTATCGACAAACCTTCTTAACGACGACCGTGATATCACGCAAGGTTTAAATACAATGACGTCATGGCTGTGTTGTTTACTCGCCACTAGATTTCTACGCATTACTGCCTGTAGTAACAACATCCAATATATCAATACAAACACATCTCTTATACCTGTATATAACACAAACTAGTACTGAATCTGATGTCTACAGCAAAGTTAATAATTTAACTGTCGCTTACTGTCGTCTACAGTACAGCTGGGAACTGTCGTCTACAGTACAGCTGGGAACTGTCGTCTACATTACAGCTGGGGACTGTCGTCTACGGTACAGCTGGGAACTGTCATCTACGGCACAGGTGGGAACTGTCGTCTACATTACAGCTGGGGACTATCGTCTACGGTACAGGTGGGAACTGTCGTCTACGGTCAGCTAGGGACTGTCGTCTACAGTACAGCTGGGAACTGTCGTCTACATTACAGCTGGGAACTGTCGTCTACATTACAGCTGGGGACTGTCGTCTACGGTACAGCTGGGAACTGTCGTCTACGGTACAGCTGGGAACTGTCGTCTACGGCACAGGTGGGAACTGTCGTCTACATTACAGCTGGGGACTGTCGTCTACGGTACAGCTGGGAACTGTCGTCTTCGGTACAGCTGGGAACTGTCGTCTACAGTACAGCTGGGGACTGTCGTCTACGGTACAGCTGGGAACTGTCGTCTACGGTACAGATGGGAACTGTCGTTTACGGTACAGGTGGGAACTGTCGTTTACGATACAGCTAGGGACTGTCGTCTACAGTTCAGATGGAGAACTATTGTCGAGAGTGGAAATGGGAACTGTGGTATATTGTAGGTCTGAGGGAGGGAAGTCGACAGTAACAGCTGATGGCTGTTGTCTAGAACACAGCTAGAGAACTATTGTCAAGATACAACTGAGAACTGTTGTCAAGAGTACAACTAAGGACTGTTGTTTAAAGTGCAACTGTCGTCTACAGAACAGCTCGGAAATGTTGTCCATAGTACAGAAAGATAACCGTTGTCATGAATACAGCTGGGAACTGCAATCTACAGTACAGCTGGGGAAATCAACCGTACAAATGAGTAACGTTATCTACAGAGCAGTTGAAGAACGTCTACAGAACACCTGGGCATTGTGAACTGTCGACAGTATAGATGTGAAATGTCGCCTATACTACAACAAGGTATTGTTATCTGTAGTAAAGCTGGGCATTATCATCTATAGCACAGGAGGAAACTGCCCTCTACAACACAGGAGGAAACTGCCCTCTACAACACAGGAAGGAACTGTCCTCCACAGCACAGGCCGGAACTGTCCTCTACAGCACAGGCCGGAACTGCCCACTACAGCACAGCTAGGAAGTGTTGTCCAGATGACAGCTAGGACATTTCGTTTGCAGCCCTGATGGGGACTGCTGTTGGAAAACTTGTCTATAATACAGCTGGAAAACTGTTGTCTACAGTACAGCTGGGGACTACATTACCGTGCAGGTCTGTTGTCTATATACCAGATATGACCTGTTGTAACTAGTAACTTTCCTCTATTTTAGAGCTGGGAACTGTCATTTATAGTACAGCTGGAGACTATAGTTTATACTACAGCTTGGGACTCTTGTCTATATTAAGCTGGGAACTGTCGCTTAATTAGGGAATTGTTGTCGACAGCATAAAGGTATGTCGTGTATCATATTATTCATGCGTTATGCAACATATAATGGGAACAACTGAGTCTAAAGCTAACAGTACACATGGGAATTTTCTGTACTTATCAGTCTTCGGTGTCATATAAAGGATTCCACGTCAAAACGAAATGGCTAAACGTTTGAATAAAATATGATTGGCTTGTTCAAAAAGCACAGTTTGGTGCCACGATCGATAGACCGCGCGCTACGTATTTTACCTGGAGAAACAGGTAACTCTGCTTGCAGTGAGGTACAGGGAACTTGGATCGATGGAATGTTTGTGACGTGTCCAGGTGAAACATGATGGTGTATCTAATGAGGGAACACAACCATCTCCTAATAGCAATTATAGGAGCACAGTTCTCGGGCAGGCGAGAGAAGCTCTCGAATGGTGTGAAAGGATTAAATTATCTCCCTTCGCGTCTTTGTTTCACTTGAAGATTAAATGGTCCTTGAACGACGAAAATAACCTTTTGTACAGAAATGTACATCGTCATCAGTAAGCTAGATTCACAAAAATCAATTACTATCATATCTTGAGACTCTTTCTCGCCAGAAGGAATAAAGATTTATCGTTGCTAACGAGCGCTAGAAACAAAGTCGTCTTATTATTTTGTCTGTATTTCATAATAAAAATACAAACGACGTTTGAATAAGATCAATAGACTGATTTCTTAGCAGCATGGTAACATAAATCATATCTAAATCATCATCCTTTGTTTATGTTACAAAGGCGTGTCTTGTCGAATCTGCTTTATCCGCAGTACAGGGGACTGTTTCAGGAGACTGGTTCAGTACAGGAGACTGATTCAGTGCAGGAGACTGTTTCAGTACAGGAGACTGTTTCAGTACATGCAACTGTTTCGGTACAGGGGACTGTTTCAGTACCGGAGACTGTTTCAGTACAGGAGACTGTTTCAGTACAGGGGACTGTTTCAGTACATGAGTTTGGTTCAGGAGACTGTTTCAGTACATGAGACTGTTTCAGTACAGGAGACTGTTTCAGTACTTGAGACTGTTTCAGTACAGGAGACTGTTTCAGTACATGAGACTGTTTCAGTACAGGAGACTGTTTCAGTACAGGGGACTGTTTCAGTACAGGGGACTGTTTCAGTACATGAGACTGTTTCAGTACATGAGACTGTTTCAGTACAGGAGACTGTTTCAGTACCGGAGACTGTTTCAGTACAGGAGACTGTTTCAGTACAGGGGACTGTTTCAGTACAGGAGACTGTTACAGGGGACTGTTTCAGTACACGAGACTGTTTCAGTACAGGGGACTGTTTCAGTACAGGGGACTGTTTCATTACAGGAGACTGTTTCAGTACAGGAGACTGTTTCAGTACATGCGACTGTTTCGGTACAGGAGACTGTTTCAGTACATGAGACTGTTTCAGTACAGGGGACTGTTTCAGTACAGGAGACTGTTTCAGTACATGGAGACTGTTTCAGTACAGGGGACTGTTTCAGTACATGCAACTGTTTCAGTACAGGAGACTGTTTCAGTACAGGAGTTTGGTTCAGGAGACTGTTTCAGTACAGGAGACTGTTTCAGTACATGAGACTGTTTCAGTACAGGGGACTGTTTCAGTACAGGAGACTGTTTCAGGAGACTGTTTCAGTACCGCAGACTGTTTCAGTACAGGAGACTGTTTCAGTACAGGAGACTGTTTCAGTACATGAGACTGTTTCAGTACAGGAGACTGTTTCAGTACATGCGACTGTTTCGGTACAGGAGACTGTTTCAGTACAGGAGACTGTTTCAGTACTGTTTCGCAGGGGACTGTTTCAGTACAGGAGACTGTTTCAGTTCAGGAGTTTGGTTCAGGAGACTGTTTCAGTACAGGAGACTGTTTCAGTACAGGAGACTGTTTCAGTACATGAGACTGTTTCAGTACAGGGGACTGTTTCAGTACAGGGGACTGTTTCAGTACAGGAGACTGTTTCGGTACAGGAGACTGTTTCAGTTCAGGAGACTGTTTCAGTACATGAGACTGTTTCAGTAAAGGAGACTGTTTCAGTTCAGGAGACTGTTTCAGTACAGGAGACTGTTTCAGTACAGGAGACTGTTTCAGTACAGGAGTTTGGTTCAGGAGACTGTTTCAGTACAGGAGACTGTTTCAGTACAGGAGACTGTTTCAGTACAGGAGACTGTTTCAGTTCAGGAGACTGTTTCAGTACAGGAGTTTGGTTCAGGAGACTGTTTCAGTACAGGAGACTGTTTCAGTACAGGAGACTGTTTCAGTACAGGAGACTGTTTCAGTTCAGGAGACTGTTTCAGTACAGGAGACTGTTTCAGTACAGGAGACTGTTTCAGTACATGAGACTGTTTCAGTACATGAGACTGTTTCAGTACAGGGGACTGTTTCAGTACATGAGACTGTTTCAGTACAGGGTACTGTTTCAGTACAGGGGACTGTTTCAGTACAGGAGACTGTTTCAGTACATGAGATTGTTTCAGTACATGAGACTGCAGTACAGGAGACTGTTTCAGTACAGGAGACTGTTTCAGTACATGAGACTGTTTCAGTACAGGGGACTGTTTCAGTACAGGAGACTGTTTCAGTACAGGAGACTGTTTCAGTACATGAGACTGTTTCAGTACAGGGGACTGTTTCAGTACATGAGACTGTTTCAGTACAGGAGACTGTTTCAGTACAGGGGACTGTTTCAGTACATGAGACTGTTTCAGTACAGGGGACTGTTTCAGTACAGGGGACTGTTTCAGTACATGAGACTGTTTCAGTACAGGGGACTGTTTCAGTACAGGGGACTGTTTCAGTACAGGAGAGTATCATTCTATTCACAATAACTATCAATATATGATGGAAATGTTATTAAAAGTTAAAAAACTACTTTGTGTTTTTTTTATCTTAGATCTAGTGCCACCAATATTTACATTAATCTTATTGATTTTATCAGGTAAAGACCAACAATGTTTGAAGACTACATGAAAAACTGGTCGAATATTGACAGATCTCGAGTAAGGCGGATTCAGCTGTAAAGTAAAATCACAGGTAGCCATAGGCATTCTCATTGTAAATGTTTATTGTTAAAAATCTGAGCACTTCTTTACACAACCGGAACAACATCTCTATTCCCTGTGTTTGTGGTGTTACGTTAAAACTGTTCCGATCTTACCCATAGTCTATTTGAAAACAAACCATGCTCTCCTGAAAAAGACGGCCTTGTACACTTGTTTGAATGTTGTATGCTGGATTAATTATTTTTATTCTATGCCACATGTCCCCACACTATGATGTATATTTCTCATCTGAGGGTGTGTCACACCCTACTCACGTCCCGATATGCCTTGTATATATATCTCATCTCACGGTGTGTCAAATTCACCCCATGTCCCCACACTATGATGTATATTTCTCATCTGAGGGTGTGTCAAATTCCCCCCATGTCCCCATACGTATGATATATATTTCTCATCTGAAGGTGTGTCAAATTCACCCCATGTCCCCACACTATGATGTATATTTCTCATCTGAGGGTGTGTCACACCCTACTCACGTCCCCGATATGCCTGATATATATATCTCATCTGAAGGTGTGTCAAATTCACCCCATGTCCCCACACTATGATGTATATTTCTCATCTGAGGGTGTGTCACACCCTACTCACGTCCCCGATATGCCTGATATATATATCTCATCTGAAGGTGTGTCAAATTCACCCCATGTCCCCATACTTATGATATATATATCTCATCTGAAGGTGTGTCAAATTCCCCCATGTCCCTATACGTATGATGTATATTTCTCATCTGAAGGTGTGTCAAATTCTCCCCATGTCCCTATACGTATGATGTATATTTCTCATCTGAGGGTGTGTCACACCCTACTCACGTCCCGATATGCCTGATATATATATCTCATCTGTAGGTGTGTCAAATTCACCCCATGTCCCCATACGTATGATGTATATTTCTCATCTGAGGGTGTGTCAAATTCACCCCATGTCCCCATACGTATGATATATATTTATCATCTGAAGGTGTGTCAAATTCACCCCATGTCCCCATACGTATGATATATATTTCTCATCTGAGGGTGTGTCAAATTCACCCCATGTCCCCATACGTATGATATATATTTATCATCTGAAGGTGTGTCAAATTCACCCCATGTCCCCATACGTATGATATATGTTTCTCATATGAGGGTGTGTCAAATTCACCACATGTCCCCATACGTATAATGTATATTTCTCATCTGAGGTGTGTCAAATTCACCCCATGTCCCCATACGTATGATATATGTTTCTCATCTGAGAGAGTGTCAAATTCTCCCCATGTCCCCATACGTATGATATATGTTTCTCATCTGAGAGAGTGTCAAATTCTCCCCATGTCCCCATACGTATGATGTATATTTCTCATCTGAGGGTGTGTCAAATTCACCCCATGTCCCCATACGTATGATATATGTTTCTCATCTGAGAGAGTGTCAAATTCTCCCCATGTCCTCATACGTATGGTATATATTTCTCATCTGAGGGTGTGTCAAATTCACCCGATGTCCCCATACGTATGGTATATATAACTGAAATGAGAGAGTGTCACACCATCCTTATCTTCCCATACGTATTGTCTATATAACTCAAATTAGAGAGTGTCCAAACATGTCCCTATACGGATTGTATATAATTCTCATCTGCGAGAGTGTCACATCTAACTCCGTGTCCCCTTACGCATGGTATAGATCTCTCATATGATAGAGTGTCACACCATCCCTATCTTCCCATATGTATGATGTATATTTCTCATCTGAGAGTATGTCCCATATCCCCTTGTGTATGATATAAATCCCTCACCTGAGAGAGTGTCACACCCACCCGCTGTTCCTATAAGTATGGTATATATATTCTCACCTGAGAGAGTGTCACACACCCTCCAAACTCCGCTGTAGGTGTTGTACAGATAGTAGGTAGCAAAGCTGCCATCTGATTGTTCCTCTTTGTATTTGATGTAAGATGTTGAAGATGAAGCCAGAGTGATTTGGATGGAGCTACTATTGCCGGAGGTATACGGAGAGAAGACGGATGTATCATAATAAACTTCTTGCCAAGTGTCCACGGCGATGGCCAGTAGGATAAACAAACTACCAAAGGCGCCAGTAATGACGGCGCTAGCCACCAGAATAATGAGGGGCGACGTCATGTTTCCCGCCCTTCACAGGTGTCTGTCATTTTAAGCTAGTCATATCCTGTTAGTATTTCCATTTCCACGGAATATCAGAAACGGTAAATGGTACGTACAATGTTTACGGCGCTGTCTGCCGCCTATCTAACTACGAGCAAATGAAACGTGTGTTGAAGGAACATCCAATAGACTTCGATCGATAGACAATAAAGCGTTTGCCAGTGTGGTCTGTTACTATCGACACGTCGGGTAGTGTGATTACACCCAGCCTCAGGATCAATCACATCAACAATGTCGCGAGACCAATACCTACTATTCACCTCTGGTAATATATAACGCTTAGCAAACTAATAAGCGCGCATGCGCATATAAACGGTCTCCATGACAGTTGATAGCTATTTATTAGACTTTGTCTCCATTATGGCAGATCGATATAGACCGGTATACATGTGCATGGCGACACCGGAGACGACTAACGAGAAAGTTCATATTGTGCTGTCATTATTGATGAACACGATCATACACTAACCGCATACATTCACCAACCACTGCAATCAACTCTGACAAAGTCTGCTGCAAACAACACAAAAACAATGTCGTAAAGCTAATCACAGACATGGTGGGGATTATAACATCGTCAGGAATAGGTGAGGGTGGCGGTGGTGCGGGATGGAGGACATGGAGATAGCAGTTTGGTTCCAGTGCAAGTTAGGACATAGAGTTTGGGTAAACGTATCGCTTAGGTGCAAACACCTGATTGTGTATTCCGTCTTAGAATCAAAACGCTGTCAAGGAATCATGAAAATATCAAAGCAATGGCACGGCAAAAGTATTACATTAAATAGCAGTGGGAATACTGACATCCAGTCAAGGCAAAAGTAGAGGGAATACTGACATCCAGTCAGGGCAAAAGTAGAGGGAATACTGACATCCAATCAGAAAAATAGAAGAGGGAATATTGACATCCAATCAGAGAAATAGAAGAGGGAATATTGACATCCAATCAGGGAAATAGTAGAGGGAATATTGACATCCAATCAGGGAAATAGTAGAGGGAATATTGACATCCAATCAGGGAAATAGTAGAGGGAATATTGACATCCAATCAGGGAAATAGAAGAGGGAATACCGACATTAATCAGAGATATAGGAGAGGGAATACCGACATTAATCAGGGATATAGGAGAGGGAATACCGACATTAATCACAGATATAGGAGAGGGAATACCGACATTAATCAGAGATATATGAGAGGAAATACCGACATTAATCACAGATATAGGAGAGGGAATACCGACATTAATCAGGGATATAGGAGAGGGAATACCGACATTAATCAGGGATATAGGAGAGGGAATACCGACATTAATCAGAGATATAGGAGAGGGAATACCGACATTAATCAGAGATATAGGAGAGGGAATACCGACATTAATCAGGGATATAGGAGAGGGAATACCGACATTAATCAGAGATATAGGAGAGGAAATACCGACATTAATCACAGATATAGGAGAGGGAATACCGACATTAATCACAGATATAGGAGAGGGAATACCGACATTAATCACAGATATAGGAGAGGGAATACCGACATTAATCAGGGATATAGGAGAGGGAATACCGACATTAATCAGAGATATAGGAGAGGGAATACCGACATTAATCAGGGATATAGGAGAGGGAATACCGACATTAATCAGAGATATAGGAGAGGGAATACCGACATTAATCAGAGATATAGGAGAGGGAATACCGACATTAATCACAGATATAGGAGAGGGAATACCGACATTAATCAGGGATATAGGAGAGGGAATACCGACATTAATCAGGGATATAGGAGAGGAAATACCGACATTAATCACAGATATAGGAGAGGGAATACCGACACTCTACTTCAGCACATTTAAGTTCTTTTCTTTCACTTTTAATCAATTTTATTTCATAAATATTACAAAAAATTATCGGATGCAAGTTGTCACAACTTATTAATGTCCTCTCCATAGTACAATTATACACATGCACAGCTCAGCAATGGTCTAAATCAATCGGTACATAAATGAAATTTTCAAATTATGAAAAAAGAAGAAAAAGGGACAGTAAAGAAGAAAGGTACAAACAACAGAAAGACAAAGGGATGCTGATATAATGAATAAGAAAACAAAGGAGGTGCTCAGGGCTCGTCAAATGGCACTGTCGACATGTAGATATATAATGACCTGTATTTGTACTTACACAAATCTTTTACTATCGGCAATAAAATTTTGCACGTGTTCAACAAATATCTTAAATTTAATTTTACGTCCAAGGAATTATCACCATACATAAGGTTTTCATATGTAATTTTACCATACCATATTAAATGTCTCAGCATTCTATTTCTACATTTTTTTTGCTTTTTACCTAATGCCTGGCCTATACTTCTGTACATTTAAGTTATTTTTTCTTTTTACCTTATGCCCGGCCTATACTTCTGCACATTTAAGTTTTTTTCTTTTTACCTTATGCCCGGCCTATACTTCTGCACATTTAAGTTTTTTTCTTTTTACCTTATGCCCGGCCTATACTTCTGCACATTTAAGTTTTTTTCTTTTTACCTTATGCCCGGCCTATACTTTTGCACATTTAAGTTTTTTCTTTTTACCTTATGCCCGGCCTATACTTCTGCACATTTAAGTTTTTTTTTCTTTTTACCAAATGCCCGGCCTATACTTCCGCACATTTAAGTTTTTTTCTTTTTACCAAATGCCCGGCCTATACTTCTGCACATTTAAGTTTTTTTTTCTTTTTACCAAATGCCCGGCCTATACTTCTGCACATTTAAGTTTTTTTTTCTTTTTACCAAATGCCCGGCCTATACTTCTGCACATTTAAGTTTTTTTTTCTTTTTACCAAATGCCCGGCCTATACTTCCGCACATATAAGTTTTTTTCTTTTTACCAAATGCCAGGCCTATACTTCCTCTCATTTAAGTTTTTTTCTTTTTACCAAATGGCCGACCTATACTTCCGCTCATTTAAGTTTTTTTCTTTTTACCAAATGGCCGACCTATACTTCCGCTCATTTAAGTTTTTTTCTTTTTACCAAATGGCCGACCTATACTTCCGCTCATTTAAGTTTTTTTCTTTTTACCAAATGGCCGACCTATACTTCCGCTCATTTAAGTTTTTTTTATTTTTACCGAATGCCCGGCCTATACTTCCGCACATTTAAGTTTTTTTCTTTTTACCAAATGCCCGGCCTATACTTCCTCTCATTTAAGTTTTTTTCTTTTTACCAAATGGCCGACCTATACTTCCGCTCATTTAAGTTTTTTTCTTTTTACCAAATGGCCGACCAATACTTCCGCTCATTTAAGTTTTTTCTTTTTACCTAATGTCTGACCTATACTTCTGCACATTTAAGTTTTTTTCTTTTTACCAAATGGCCGACCTATACTTCCGCTCATTTAAGTTTTTTTCTTTTTACCAAATGGCCGACCTATACTTCCGCTCATTTAAGTTTTTTTCTTTTTACCTAATGTCTGACCTATACTTCTGCACATTTAAGTTTTTTTCTTTTTACCAAATGGCCGACCTATACTTCCGCACATTTAAGTTTTTTCTGTCCCATATTTCTTTACATTAAAGTACATTCGTGTTTTCGGTTTAACCGACCGTATGTCGTAATCTTCTGCATGTATGTTCTTGTTTTTGCCAACGGTATGTCATATTCTTACGTATTGTATTGTTTTGTCGTGTATATGACGTATGTGTGATATGGAGCTGGACGTGTTTTGTGTATTGTTCCATTGTTGTTTACCTTGTTCTCAATTATGAGCGTGACATTACCTACATGGTTTAACCAAGATTTATATTAATGGTTTCATCGACGAAGCAGAAGACGCACACATTTCCAGAACACCTGGTCTTATTCTCCTTCTACTTTTACATCAATCTCCGTGTAAATCTTTCTTTTGTTCCTATTTCACCATAGTTTCAACGAATCCGTTTTTTAATGAACAATATGTTAACCTGTCGGTATTTTCTTCATTAACAATAAGCGTGACAATGCAATCAAGTCTCTAATTTCACGTCGTTTCTTGTACTTAATTACATGTGATCGGAGGCTTGTAATTGAATTGTGAATGCATTTTTCTGATGATTTGGCCATGTCCTGTTCCATACAAATGTGAAAGATACCGATAGCTGAGGGGAAAATTTGATTTACAACACGATGGTTCAAGAGATACAGACAGGTGAAGACTGTGGGGAAGTTTTAAGATCAGTGAGAAATATTAACTGTATGGTAGGCTCGTTGTTATAAAGCTATTGACATCTTTAAAATATTGCATTGCTTGACCTACAGGCAGAAAAATGTTTCCCTTTTCAGAACACCAGGTATACATTTTGAATGTTTCTTTTCGCCGTTTTGATGGGGTGACGATGATGACCTTACAACTGTCACGTAGTCTTTATCAATCTGTATCTGATTCAACACAAAGTAACAGCCTTGTATGGATAAGCTCAGCATCGCAGTTGCTACCTAACCGCGACTAAGGTTACAACTTTCAGCCACTGATTTCAAAATGACCACCATTTTTTCCTACAATGGAATTGTTATGCACATCTATACAAAATGAAAACATGTATTATACTTAAAGTTCCAGGAAGCCTTCAATCAGTTTGTCTTACCTACGTTCACCAGTTCATATGCCACTGTCCAAGATCCCAAACTCGAATCCGACTGAGTAATCAGTTCATTTCCGTTGGACCAACAGGACACACTTGAATTAAGATTATTTTATAAATACATGGCCTAGTTGAGAATAACGTCCAGTTGATATTTCTATTGACGGATTTTTGACGTTTCGTTGATTTTTGTTTATGGTTTTTTTTTTGTTTTTTTTTTTGTTTTTTTTGAGGGGGTGGTGGTGGGGGGGATTAGTGTGTTTTTTCATACTTATCATTATTAAAGTGTCATATGTCAAGTTTTCATAAAATGCATAATATGAACACAGTTAAAGTGTGGAACAAATCGTAAAATTGACACCTTGCCTATCAAAGCTTACGAGTTGCTATATAAATTGTCTCCACTTAACTTAATTATGGAAACATCCAACCCTATATTGTTTTGTGGTCATTGTTTTTTGTTATTTGCATCATTTATTTTTCTTTAAATGTACTGATTTTATCCACTCCTTTTTAAGATTACTGTGGTGGGTGTCAGTTAAACACCCCGTCCTAGGTCAGAACTAAGGTGTTGATACAATGTACCCTCTTAATGTCTTAAAGAAAACACCGTCAGACGAAGTTGACAAAATTGTCTGAATCAGATCAGAGAGACAGATAGATGTTTCGTGGTAGTGTCAAGGAGGCATTAAAAATTATAGAAACAGTTTTTCAAACTTTTTTGTACAGATTTTTATTTTTTTTTAATTAAGGGCCAAATAGCCCAAACCATGGCGGTTAATCATGTTACAGTTCAATCCTGGGCGATCACGTTCAAGTAAGAGAATTATTTATATAACGTATCATATTATGGTACAAAATTTGCTCTACAGATATATGTGGCTTGGATCATGATATAAATACGGGTACTTTGTGTTACAGTTAGCTGACCCTAAATTTGTAAACCCTCTCAATATATAAACACTTAAAGAATACAACATGTGACGTGGTCATGTGGTTCTATATGATCACAGAATAGATTTCAAGTCTGTATTTCAATAGAGAGACATTTTAAATAGCATTTAATACCATAAATAAATGACTCAGGCTTCACAGCCTCTATGTCCATATCATGTACATTACAAAGCGAAAGAAGAAAAAATTAACTTCCAGTTTAACGGCTACAATGTACATACATGTTAATGATCGTATGTGAAACAGTTATATGGAACAAGTGTTTAAAACTTTACGAGCCTTTGACAGGTTACACTGTAAAATGAAAACTTTGTGACAAGTTGTTTCAATCACGTATCAAAATGTAACGTCATTTTATTATATAAACCTGACGTCACAAAGTTGTATTACGGCTTGTAATAGGCAAAACATTATAAGTATATATAGTTCGTGGGATAATTACTGAATCGTACAGTCGTTGAAAGATATCATTACGAATATGTACACCAAAGTGTCTGTTAAAGTATGTTGGGATGTTTTTCTTTTCTTTCAGATTATTTCTTTCAGATTATTTTTTTTTCTGAAATTCGTTGGGAGTCTACGCCTTTCAAATCCAAGGATGTTCCCAACCCCAGCTTTAGACTATAACCTTGAATTATAACCGTGCGAACACGATATCCTGATTCTAATACTCTTGTGAAACTTAAAAATATTTATATCTCAAACAGAGTGACGTCCCTTGAATATAAATTACGCTTCCGGAAACAACATGAATCAACATTGGGTATATGCATGTGCTGTACAAATGTACATCGTAGAAGTGATTCCCTATCAGATGGCAGATTTGAGTTCTTGATATAATATAACAACCTGACATGTAGCTAAGGATAAAAATGTAAGACACATACTGGTATGACTTAATGCAGCCTGTGTATCTTATTTTGATAACGGACGTGTTATGGCCGGTCTGTTTCTATGGTTTGATCCGGTGACAGACCCCACCCGATTGCAACACTTTGTAATGTATTGACATAAGCAAATGAAGAAATTATGAAGTCAAGCAATAAGTAAATCAATTACTTTTACGTTTAGAACCATTGAATTATGGATAAATCCATGTTGTCCTCCAATTCTGTCGTCTGTTATAAACAGCGAATTTGTTTATTTATATCGATGACGACGATGTACACGTATATATATATTTGTTTGCTTTCTTTTCCAGAATCGGCGTTTACAAAAATACTTATTGCTTTAACTGAATCGTCGAACAGATGGGTTTCACACAGGTAATCCTACAAGTTCCATAGAATTACATATGAACTGCAGTCTATTAAATAGAGAATGCATTGTTTTAATTCAACCAGTTTCAGTCAAAATATTTGAAGTTTCTTACTACAACCATTTTAGATTTGCTGAGGCAAGATATGATTTTATTAAGATTTCCTTGACCAAAGATATTTTATTACTGGTGTGTTTATTAAAAGAGTAAATGGAATTGATGTACATTTAGATCAGTATTGTAACAAGGTTTATGTATGTATCGAAACAAAGATATTTTGAATTTTGAAAAGATCATTTATTTGCAGATGGACGTTGTATCATGGTTTCTAATTGTGGTTATGTTGATGGTGCTGGCCTTTGTGTTGATGAAATTATATAGATTATATCGTCTTCAGCTGTATGAGGTGCGCGCACCAGACATTGATCGTGGCCATCGCTGGTATATGGTAGATATATTTCCAGAGCAAACATACTGTACCATTGGTCACTACCGGATAAAACATGGGGCAACATGTGACTCTTGTGGTGTGTGTGTGGATGATCATAACATGAAAGCAGCAGACAAACAAATCCACTGTAAGCCTGTTTCTGAGATTGGCCATGGGACACTTCATCATTGGGTTCAGGGCAATCTACCACTATACAGCAAGTGCTTCATTTGTGGTGAAGATTGTGGTGTACTACCTCAGATCTGTGATGTTTGGTGTGCATGGTGTAGAAGGACTGCACATGAACACTGTAAGCGAATCAGTGATCTATGTGATCTGGGTCGCTTTAAGACTTCCATTGTACCCCCTAACTGTGTCAAACTAAAACAAGTGGGTTTGAAAGGAAGACGACGTCTGGTGGTGGACTCTGCTAGTCATCCAAACATTGCCAATTGGAGTCCCCTCATAGTAGTCGCTACCAGGAAAAGTGGAAATAATGAAGGAGAATTTATTTTACGGGCCTTCCGGGGCTTCTTACATCCCTCACAGGTATGAGACATTAAGGTGTTATATATCCTTTCATTAGGAATGAATCCAGAATCTAACCCATTATTTATTCATAATTTGTGATAATCATAAAGAGATCCTTCTGTCAGTATGGTTATGCATTTATGCTGTAATTAGCTCGTATGGAGTCCATGTTCCACCAGTTGTCTCTTGTAAACTGATGTGGTGCTATGTGCTGTAGGTGATTGACCTGAATGATGTGCCACCGGAGAATGGCCTTGAATGGTGCCACCTTCTCCCTGATGTCACCTTCCGTGTTTTAGTTTGTGGGGGTGATGGTACCATTGGATGGGTGCTGAATGCTATAGATAAGCTTGGCCTCAAAGTAAGTGAAGACACCATGCATCAGAATGTCATCTTTTTTAGATATAACTTATGTAAGAACTCTGAACCAAAAAGGGCCATCAAGTAATTGTGAATATTTCTTAGTTACATTTCTTGTTATTTAACACTTATTTGTACATCTGATTAGGATATGTGAACTGTTTTATGAAATGCTGTAGAAAGCATAGAGATGCTATGTAGAAACTGATATTGAAGGTATTTACATCAGTTTATCTAAGAATAAGTTCAAGAAAAAAAAATATGTGTTAAAAACAGGTACAGTGTCCTACCAGGAATTGTTAGAAGTTATGTTGAAGGTACAGTGTCTTGTGTGGGAATTGTCAAAAGGAAATGTTGAAGGTACAATGTCCTATAGGGAATTGTTGCATATAGCTGGTTTGCTACAAGATGTATGGCCTGTTATTTGCATGTAGGTTATATTAATGTGGGTCAAACCATGTCTTTTTAACTTTTTGATTCAAAAATCAGAAAGAGAAATTTAAAAACTTGTTAGTATTTTTTGGAATCAAAGGAAATTATTAGAACCAACAAAACACCTGATTCTCATACACCCTTTAATTGATAGATGCTAGAAAAATAATTTTGAGATCATTTGAATACAGTAGGACACTCTACCTGTAATTACTGACAAGATTACAAACATAATTGGAATAATATTTATTTTCTCTTCATCAACCACAAGCTGATGTCATTGCCACAGTGTTTCTGTCTGCCCACTCTAAAACCCTAAACTTTAATATGCATCCAACAACTCTCCTATTAGACATATATATCCATTATGTTTGAGATAGATGTGACAGTTATTACATGCTGAACATCAGCCCATTCAAAGATTTTTGGAAAAGTTTTTGAAAGGCTTCTTAGTACGTAAGTTTTTTCCCCAAACTTCTCTTATTTGGTCTAGATTTTCAACTTTTTGAACTTTACCTTTCCTATTGGGTTGGAAAGTCCTTAAGTAGATCTCCCACACCTACAATATCATTTATGTTCCAGGAGTGATTGAGATGTCACAGAATCTTTATTTATAGAGTCCTGTTGTACTTCACAGTACTTTTTATATAAATTTGGAAAGTACATTATGGAAAAAGCATTTTGTAATGACTTCTGCTGGTGAGCTTGGCAAACATTGATTGCACTTGTCAGCTATCCTGTAACTTTTGATTCCAGAATCCACCTGATGTGTGTATTCTGCCATTGGGGACAGGCAATGATATGTCACGTGTCTTAGGATGGGGTGAAGGCTACACTCATGGTGATGTTAATATACCAGATATCCTGGAGAAAATTAGTGAATCTCAGCCTGTTAGTCTAGACAGGTAAATTATGTTACTGTACGTAGCATTGTCTAGAAATATGAAATTCCTGACAATCATTTCCTACAATGTACCTTGCTAAAATTTCATTTTAAGATTTCATTTCCCTTGGGAATCTTTATCCATTAAATGTAAACCAGTGATAAAATAACAAAGATAAATCGAAACTGACAAATATATCTACATTTATGATAACAGATTATCCAATTTTCCTTGCTCTCATTTTAGTGTTAACTTTAATTTAAATTTCCTTTCTTTGAATTTTTTGTTTTTTAACCAAGTATATTATTTGAATTAGTTAAATAAAACATAAATATGATGAGATGTGAGGTGTGTGTGTTGATTTTACTCTCTTACTCATGAGAATCATGTGTGACTTCCAACTTCTGAGAATCATGTGACATGATTGTATATCCCTTAGAGGGGGAACAATGCTTATTGTTTGTTTTGTTAAAGAATGGATCTTTTTGGATATTATGTAATGAAAATTTAAATTTATTACAATCATTAATTGCAGAATGAAAATTAACATCCAACATTATCCACCAAAAAAACACTTCCACTACTAATGATACAAAACCTACAGGTTATTTAACAAGGGGATGAGGTTTTACTGTTAAGTTTTTAACCTGTCTTATTTCAGATGGAAAGTGGAGATAAGAATGAGAAGTATTGTGATAAAGAAGAAAAAGGTACTGCTGCTTTGTGATGTTTTTAGAGTTGCCTCCCCTGGTGTGATAGTCACTGGTTTTGAGTAAATGTTATGAAACATAACATTGTTTTATTTATATAAATGAGTTTTATAAACTTTTGTTGTTATCACTTCTCTGTGTTTTACAGCTAGGTGTTGTTATTATATGATCAGATTTATAAAATGTTTTATAATTAGACATCCTGGTGTCTTATCCTGTGATAATTGACATCAAGATTGAATACAACATTGTGTTGAAATAATCCTCTAGTTTGATTATTTTGTGTTGATGATTTTGAATACAGTTATTGTAAGTTTCATAGTTAACTCATTTCCATGTGAATGAAATAATCATCATTTGTTGTTACAGGTTGTAATGAACAATTATGCCTCTATAGGGGTGGATGCCCTAGTTACCCTGAATTTCCACAGACAGAGGGAGAGTAGGCCATGGCTGTTTGCACATCGCCTTATCAATAAGGTACATCTGTGTTCCTCCTATTGCTATGGATATAAGTAATTTGTCATGTGATATGATACATAAAATATAATTACCATATGTTCAGATTAAAGATACATCTTTATAAACAAAACCTATCAGTATTTATTAATGGGAGATAACTTTCCAGAAATTTTGATTCTATTATTTACATGGCAATCTGTAACTGGACTGGAATAGTGTAATCTGTCTGGGCAGCTGGCTGACTGATTTGCTGGCTGATTTGCTGGCTGGCTGGCTGGCTGGCCAAAGGTCAACACTTCTTTGTCTGGTTCATTTATTCTAGTGCATCAAACCAATGTTAGATTAGATTGCCTGCCATAGTTTTTCTGCTCGTCGCTAGACTTTGTTTCGAAAATACAACGACAGTTCAGGGCTATTATTCCTGTTATTTGGATTGGCTGATATTTATATTTAGAATGGGGTATCCCTTTCTGAAAGTGTGATTACAACAATTAAGGGAATATAGTCAAATTTGTATTGGCACTGTATTATACAACATTACTGGTATGTTCATAGGAACATCTCCACTTACAGTTGCTTGTATATCTACTGCTCAAATCAAATGTGATTGTTTCAACCAGATGCTTGGCATGTCCGTTATTTCAACATCTCATCAACTATGATAACTTCAGGACCAGGTATTTGAAAGAGTGTTTATATAAGTATCTGTTGAATTTGAACTAAACTGTTTTTATAATTATGACTTTTACATTTACCATGGGGATTTCTCACTAATTCTTGTGGACACTTCATCTGACACACGTCATTGTAAACATAAGGGAATTCCAAGGCTCAAACCCAATCAACAATTTCTTGACTGAATTAACCAGTCAGTATCATTTTGGCCAAAATTTTTACCAAGATGGCATCCCTGACCAGTTTTAGTTTGAACAAGTGCAGTCTAGTAGAGAAAAGTTGTAACTAATGCAGGTATTCCAGCCTAACTGTACATATGCATCTGGGTAAAGGGGAGTATCACATACTTAATTGAGTCTAATTAGGTCAAAGGGGTAACATTGACCCTTTGTTCTTCCTTTAAAACTTTAAATGTTAGAATGAAAGGTTTTTGTTTTAGAATCAAGATGAATGACCAACGTCAACAATTACACAAAGTAAACAGTATAAAAAAGTTTTCTTTCTTAATGCAGAGAAATAATTAACTCTGGAATCTGAGAGTTATTTTATTGGTTTGATGTTCACACTTAAGTTCACAAAAGTAACATCTGAACAGTCACCCCTATTTCTTCAGATTGTTATCTCCAAATATACCAATTCAAGAGTTAACAGATAAACATACACAGCATTTGTATTCTATGAATGCAAAGTTTACCATCAGCACGTGTAAAGTACTATGTTTGTTACACAGTGGATATAACAAAGTGGAACCCATTCAAGCTCCAACCATATTCAAATTGATTTAACTTTGTTACATGGACGTGGCACTCAACCACACGGCTACAAAAGCTAGTTATCAGATTATGCAGCCGAAATACCCATATCCATGAACAATCAAACATACATAGATAAATCTGTTTTAAGATCATGTGGTTTCATTCAAATGAGAATTTGTTCAATTACAATTTCTTTTAGCCAAATATTTTGTCATAATGATAAATTTGGAAGTGTTACAATTCATATGTTTAGTTTTACATCAGTATTTCAGTATTTTAATTGAATATTTAAGCATTTTCTAAGGAAATCTTTTTAATTAACATAAAAACCAAAATGTGAACCAAAATTTGATACAAAAAATCCAAAACATAGTGCAATTTACAGTATAAAAGACAAATAATTTCAGCCTATGATTATGCTTGTGTCACACATAGACATGTAATGATTGCAGTAGCCAAAATGTGTTGAGTATATACTTACCAAATTGTAAGTATTAAGAGTAGACATTATTAATGTAACATTAATAGGTGACTGAGGTTTGGATAGACCACTAGCTAAAATGTTATACAACGTAGATAAAGAGATAAGATTTCTGTTACTACTGCAATGTACTGACCTCAATCATCTTTAACATGATGTTTAAACCATGAATGTAAAGGAATGAGAGATGGACAGTTAGACAATAGTGGGTGGACAGCTTAGAAGGAGCTGATTACTTTGCATTTGAAGTAAGGAGATGACACGTGTATTTCAGTCACCAATGTATCTTTGAAATAAAAAGTTAGCTTTGGAATGGGGCGTTTGTTGGTTATACAGAGTTGTGTACAAGTAGCATTGGAATTGGGTTTTTGGTGGAAGTAAAGAGTTGTCAGCAGGTAGCTTTGGAATGGGGCGTTTGTTGGTTATACAGAGTTGTGTACAAGTAGCATTGGAATTGGGTTTTTGGTGGAAGTAAAGAGTTGTCTACAGGTAGCTTTGGAATGGAATGTATGATGGAAATAAGCATGAATAATGTTACCAGGCCTGGAGTTTTGAACTGAAACTTGAGGCATGGAAATGTAGTCTGTCACAAATGCCAAGATCTGATAGAATGTCACCAGACTTATGATGAAGTCTGTCGGTGGTGTACACAGAACATCATTGTTTAAAAATTCATGATATCATTTTAGAGAGACAAAATGCTAAAGAGATGGATAGGTCTATGATTCAAAGGCTTGTTCTCTGATTCTCTTGTTACTTTTTAAAATTTCTTTTTCTGGAGTTTGATTTACCTGTGATGTTGTGTACGTGGGCCTCCCACAACAGATCCGGCTTCATCTCCTTATTATCGTTTTCGGCATGTTGACGTGTTAAGTTACAGTGTATGAATAGTATCGATAAGGAGAGCGGACAAGTTTTTTAATAGATATTTCTACAGCGGCATTGTATATTTTGTAATTGTTTCTATGAAATATAGGCAGTGTATTACACCGAAGTCCTCTGAGGCTTACATTTCTGCTGGCGACCTAATTTTCCTCATCAACCTCAATGTTTTAAAACGATCATTGAATTGTGTAATGTAAAATGAAAAGCCTTGAGAAATATATTCATATCTTATCTGAGAAATCCCAGGTCGAGGTTGATTGTTTATTCATCTATTGTGTAACTATTGCTTATTTAAAAGCAATTGTAAAAAACGGCTTAAGTACTGCCACCTTAAATAAAACAATTTGATACAATTTTAGAGGAATCTGACCCAAAAGAACATACTCAGAGAACTGAGGAATCGCATTATAGAGAATTTATATAGTAAAGTCTCCAGATGGATTAAGGTTATCACATTGCCAACTGCGTCCACCTTCTTAACAGTCATCACGGAAGTTACAGTAAAACACAAAGGTCAAGTTTGCAGACCTACGGAAGTAATCCAGTCAGTCGATGTTAATATTGGAATTGGCATTTCAACAGCACAGACTTCCAAAATGACATATTCCATCGGAAAATCATCTACCATCACACTTTTACATATATACAACTAAGAATTCAACATAGACGCACTCAAATACCGTTTTTCTTGAAATCAGCCTCAGTGCCTTTGACGTGAATGACACTGCCGATACTCCCCGTGGGGTTGTTTAAACAGTAATATCTTCTCACCCTCCGTTCACAACTTTAAGCATACCGATACCTCTTCACTTTGCCGTCAGCGAAGCCTACCCAGAGGACATTGTTGTTTTGAATGCCGATGGACATAGGACAGGCTTCGATAGTTTTGAGGAGCGTCCTCAGGAAGCGACCCTCCCCACTCAGCAGGTCGATGGAACTACGGAGATAATCGGCCACTACTATGTAACCCTGGCTATCGTATGCCATGTCAGCGGGTAGGAATACCTGAGGTGATGGCGGGTTTAGCTCCAGCGGAGACACGGATTGCGCCATATCGATCCAGCGTGCGATGCTGACGCAGTGTTGTCCTGTCAACATATCCTTTCGCTTCTGGGATGTGCTAAGGCCTCGCGTGGACGACTTTATGACCGGATGTTCATGGAAATTGTGTAAGGACTGTGTAGGGAGTCCTGATGCGAGGATGGTTACCCGCAACTCTTCCTCCTCCGGTCCCAAACAGCTCTTTGCGTGCAGCACAGCGATCTGGCCAGATACTGGATTGGCTGAAATTCGGAACGGATGTGGAAAATTCAGAGATACTTTCGGGGCGGCTTCTAGATCTGCCTCAGAGTAAAATATTGTTTTGAACTGGAAACCTACGATGACCATGCCGTTATCTGTGACACAGATAGTAATGGGTACATCAGTGGTTTGTATCATGTCCTCCGGGACCGCGTCCAGAGCCCGGCGTCGTTTGAGTCGAACTATTTTGACAGTCATATCTTTACAACAAAGCCAAAGGTGGCCAGTAGATGGTGATACCGAGATATCATTGATCGCCTGGTCCTCGTCCAGTGTAATACCTTCAATTTTAGTACCTTCATGAGTGACAAGTGTTACACGTGTATTATTTCCTGCCAATATCCAGGCACCTTCTGAGGTAGGACAGATAGATTTCAAAGGATACAAATATTGGAAGCTTGACAGTTGGGCAGATATCTCTGGCCGTGGATGAGAAGGAGCATCCTTGGGCTTAATAGATTTTAAAGCCGATTTTTTGGGGACTTTCCACGTAGGAAGGATGTCTTCGTTTTCTTCCATCTCTTTTTCCTCTTGCTGGACACCCGAGTCGTTAGTCACAGTCCCTGTGGTTAGTTTCTCGTTCCTCAGCAGAAACAGAAGGGATGTGTTGATCTTGAAGTCAGCCAGGTTTGCGTCCGGACGTTCGGGTAACCTGAACCCTGACCATGCCTTATCACGCTCGAAATCGTAGATCTGCACTTTGTTTCCTTTTTGGAGAGTGCGCTTGCTGTCCTGTAATTGATCGTCCATATCCCGAAATGCCGCTAATAAGGAGTACTTGTATTTGAGTAAGCGATCCGAGTTCTGTTTCTCCATTCGACGAAACGTCTTAGAGAACTCCGATGTCTGTCCGTCCACTTCTGCCTTGATGTTGTCACCTTGGACCTCCACGCGCTCCACCATGTCGTCATAGTGCTTTT